GGGGGGGGGGTGCCGCCCCGCCATCCCCGGCGACGCGGCCGGAAGCATGGAGCGGGCGGCGGCGGCAGGGCCGGCGGTGGAGGGTGGCGGCGTGAGCCGGCGAGCCGTGCGGGCGGGGGGCGCCGCGGCGGCGGGCGCGGGGTCGCGGCAGCCCAGCACCGAGACCCTGGACAGGTGAGTGGGTCTGGCGGCTGTGGACGGGCCCGGGCAGAGCGGGCTTTAGGAGAGGGGGTGTGCCGCGGCTTGCACGCCCGGGGGTGGCGAGCTGGGGAGGCGGCGGGTGCCCCTTGGCCCAGCGCGGTCCCCCGGGCTTGGGGCGGCCTCCCCTGGACCCCTGAAGCTTCTCGGGCTGGAATCTGAGGGCGGCTGCTGTGCAGCGGCGAATGGTCTGCGGCGGGAACTGGCTGTTAGTTTCCTACTCTGCTTGCCGTGTGCCGGTAGTGTCGCCGCCTTGCTTGGCCGAGGCTGAGGCGGCCTCGGGCCTTTGGCCCAGGAGTTGGGGCAGCGTCCTGCAAACTTGGGCTGAGACCGTCCGTGGCTTTTGAGTCTCTTCCCGATCGGTTTGGCGTTTTTTTCCTTGCGTGTATTTAATCTGCAGGGGGGTGTGACTGTCCCCAGGCACCACTGTGTATGCGGTGTGTCCCTGAAGTGCTGTCCGTGTGTCCGTACGTGAGTGCGGTGTGTCCCTGGTGTGTATAAGTGTGTGGGGTGGGTCCACAGAAAGGTGCCAGGCCCTGGGTGCTAGTCATTCCTTCACTCAAAAGTTTCCAGCTGAAGGCAGACTTCAGAACTGAACTTAAAAATCCTTAAACAAGGAGTATAAATGAACGGAAGTTTCACCATGATGAAAACTAAATAAAAAGGAATATTTAAAATCAGTGCTAGGTTCCAGTCTCTGTATTCTCTCTTTTTTCTGTAGTAGAAACCTGGGGGTTTACATCACTCTAGTTAAGATGGAAATCAAATGTCCATTTTCTGTCATCAAAACAGACATCTTTGTATTCCTTATTAATGCACTTTTGTATCCTAATTTTCATTTTGCATTCTTCTGATCTTGCTCTACCCTGGGCCAGTTATATGGCCATTTACTTGTTTGCCAGTACCAGCCCAGGCCAGTGTGTGTGACTGCAGATGAGATAGATTGCAAAGGCTGTCAGTACTGGTGTGTGCCCCACTGGTGCATAAGGAGAAGGCACATTGATGTGATCAGTGTTCTGTGGAACACTGACACATCCCCTACACTGGTCTCAGGGGATGGTCCTGCATACATAATTTTCCTGTTGCTCTTAACTCTGTTGATGTTGTGATTCCTTGTGAAGATAAGCCATAGGAAAAGAAATTCTTAATTAACAGCTGAGTGCTTACTTGAAAACAAACTTAGGCAAGCCCTAAAGAGCTACACTGCAAATTAAGGAGATGTGAGTGAAGGAGAAATAAAGGAGAAAGAAAAGACTACTGTAAGAAAAAGACTACTGTAGGATTTAGGCGTTGGGCTCTTTTGCAAAACTTAAGTGAAGAGTTCTCTAAGTAAATCTGGGTTTGAGTTCAGCACTAACTTGTGACTTATCTTAGTTGTTCAAGCAGGACTATCATAGATCTGTTTTAGTTTGCAAAACAACATTGTAAGATCTAGTCCTGTGTAGAATGTGCAGGTGGGGAGAAAGCTATTAAAATTTATCAGAAAAGTTTTGAAAGATCTTTCATTTCAGGTATGATGTTGTTGCATGGATCTGTGCCTTATAAATTGCTATAGTGGCAGAGTTAATGTAAGGAAAGATCTCTTGTTCAGTAGTAATTGGTTATCTAAGACTGTTACCCCACCCTCTTAATGTCCAAGGTGTGGTGGACCCGCTGGGTGCTGGATATATGTAAGTATATTCACTTCAATGTTGTGGTGCATTCATAGAATCCAAAGCTAGTTTGTGAATTAATGGAAAAAAAACCCAACTAATATTTTCTTTCTGTATTTGACTTCTGAATAAGCATTCAATCTGTAGAAGAGCACAGGTGAATGGTTGAAAAGTGGCAGTTATCTAAGATACCAGCTGAGGCTGCAGTAACATTCAGGGAACAATTCCCTCAGGCATTCCCAGTTTTTCCTTGGATACCGGTATGTGTTGAGGCAGACCTAGTGCATTTCAGACTCATTGCTTCTCCCTCTCAGTACTGTATTACTTGTGAGCAGCACTAGTTCAGGGGACTGTTCTCACATTACATCACCAATTAATCAGTGGGGTTTAGTGCAGTTCAGATGCTTTAAGGTTCTTGTAAACACCCTACACTGTACAATTCAGTGCTGTAGCAGGGGAAAGTGCCCTAAAAATTATTCAGGGTTTATTTCATGAACTGGAAAAAAATGCAGCTATCTAGAAGTTATCCTTTAGAAAACATATATTTTCAACATTTAATGTAGAATACAACATTAGCATAGCTTAAATTTTTTAATACTAGCGTGAAGTAATTTAATTTTGAGAATTTAGAGAATAATCAGATCATATTAATAAGGACAGTATAAGGAGATTCCTATTACTTGGCCAAACTTGTTCCATGGATGGCTTTAAGAAAAAAGAGTGTGAATAGTAAAAATTAATCTGGATAAGGAACAGAACATTTTTAAATTTTCTAGGATCTTAACCTCGTGACAGCTCTGTCTCTGACATGATCTAGTAAAATTCTTTTTCCTAATTTGATCAGTAAAATAGTTGCATTCTGCCCACAAAGCAAGCTAAGTTTTATGATGTTAGTAATCACTTGCAGTGTTGCTTTCTGGATCTATTCAGTTGCTGTGCTGTTCAAAATACACATTTTGAATTACTGCTAAATAATTTGAAATTTCTGGTTTTGTAGCCCGACTGGATCCCACGTGGAATGGTGTAAACAACTGATAGCTGCAACCATTTCAAGTCAGATTTCAGGGTCTGTCCCTTCAGAGGGTGTAGCCAAAGACTACAGGGTAAGTGACTTGAGGAATGCATTGATTTGTTTTAAGATACAAGCCTGGAAGATAGGGAAGGTCCTTGCTATCTTGATTAGCAGGTGGTAAGTGCTTGAGTAATCACTGAGTGTTTCAGAACTAGAAACATCTCATTGTGCCTAGGAGTCTTTTGAATTTGCTTCCTGTTTTTCTCCATATTTAGAATAGTGCCACTGAAGTCTACAGAATAAAAATTACTAAGAAGTGAAAGGAAATTTTAAAACTCTATGTTTTGAATAAAATATCAAGAGTGAGTTGTCTTTTTTTTTTGATTGCTATGTAAAATAATTGGTAAAGTAGATTATAATTACAGGTTGAAATGGTTTCTAGTGTATATTATTCAGAGTACAGAATTGAGCCCATCATATTTCACAAAAAAAATAAATTAATGTCTTTGTTACTGTGCAGGGAACTTAACTGAGTATCATTTTTTATGGGGTTTCTCCAGAGACAGAGAATTTAACATCAAACAAAGAAACAAATCACCTTTTTCATTCCCTCCCAGCAACTTTTTTGTCACTAAGGTAATGAATGCACCGTATGGTTTCCCTGAGTTCCACTGTGCTTTTGTGCCCCTGTTCTTTCACTAGCTAACTGGCTGTTCCCTTCATGCAGCCACTCTACTCAGCTGTCAAGAATGGAGCATGGGCATTTTTTCTTCTCTCACGTGACAGAAGTTATCCATGTTTCAATTCACTTTAAGAGGTCCAACTTGCTGCTGTCTAGATCCCTTTTTCTTCCTAGATTTGTAAGAATTTTATTGTCTTCATAGGGAATAGCCAAAGGAAGATTTTTACCTCCTTTTCTTGTTTCAACTAGATTTTAATTCATGTGTGCTCTGAGGTTACAAAGTATGTTGTCTGGAAATAGTGTATTTTAGATTGAGTGACAGCAGGTCAGATTCAGCCTGAGTCTGAGACGAGTCCACAAAATGTTTTTGACTGTAGTGTATTTAAAAGTTCAACCTCAACAGAGTTTCACACTGTTGGCACAATCAGCAGTTTGTAAAGAGTAGCTCTCCCATACTACAGCAGCTCCATTGCAAATGTTTGCTCCAGGTCAAGGCCAACATTTTTCGTAAAACACTGTGGGAAACTTTGCATTACATCTGTTGATGTTGTATTTGCCAAGGATTTCATTTTATTAAAATCCAAGTGTGTAAACTTGGTGTTCAGTTTATCTCTGAGTAGAATGCATTCCTCTGGAATGAAGAGCACTGTTTAATTTTGGATACACAGGATAACTTCCATCTCTATACCAAACTCATCTCAGATATTATTTAAGAGGAATAAATCTTTTAAGGCCTAATTAAAATTCTACTTCATCTTTTATCTCTGAGAAATAAACTAAAAGGATTTAAGTCTGATTGTTTAAATTAAGAACTTTTGTGGAGAAATTGTATTTGGCATAATTGCTGTGATTTGAAATCCCATATTTGTGTATAGCATGATGGAATTTTTAGTTTCTTAATTAATTTCAGTACCACTAACAGGTTGGGTTCACTCATTATTATTGTGGAATCCACACATTGAAAGACAATGCCCATATGATAGCTCAGTTTTCCTTTGAGACATCTTTTTCTTTCAATGCCCTTTCCTGGGTCTTCATTACCTTTGGTTACCTGGAATTGCTGCATTTAGAGACTATCTTACAACTCAGAACCTTCAGATCAGATCAGATGTGTGTTTGCTTCTGGAGCTGGTCAGGCAGTCCTGTTAGTTTGTGCTGGA